ATATCGTTCTTTTTTCTAGAACGATATCACGCAAAACACGCAAACACGCAAAAAACGCACGAAGAAAACGCATAGTGTAGCCAGGCCTTAACCCTCCTAGCTTCGTACAGTATGTCCGCAGCGGCGATTCAGAGGACTGGCCGGCCTGCAGGGACGGCGGCAGTAAAGGTAGGCGCACGCTGGGCCACAGCACGTTCGATCCATGTGTGATGACTATGGTGCGGCTCCCAGACGCAGGCTAATGTGTGTGTCGAGGGTTTGCCGTGCGTGTGACGCCCATCGTCATCAGCGTCGTAGGGGGTGCTGACGTCACAGTCCGATGACGTCGCCGCCGGGAGCCGGAGACTCCGGGGGCGGCGCCCGGCGGTCGAACTGTGGGGGTAGAGGGGGCACTGCGCACAGCACGGTCTGATGTCACCGCTCAGACGGCCGGCGGTCACTCTCCGGGGGGGGGGGGGCGGTCGAACTGGGGGGGGGGTAGAGGGGGTACTGCTCACAGCACGGTCTTATGTCACCGCTCAGACGGCCGGCGGTCACTCTCCGGGGGGGGGGGGGGGCGGTCGAACTGGGGGGGGTAGAGGGGGTACTGCGCACGGCACGGTCTGATGTCACCGCTCAGACGGCCGGCGGTCACTCTCCGGGGGGGGGGGCGGTCGAACTGTGGGGGTAGAGGGGGTACTGCGCACAGCACGGTCTGATGTCACCGCTCAGACGGCCGGCGGTCACTCTCCGGGGGGGGGGGGGGGGGGGGGAGGTCGAACTGTGGGGGTAGAGGGGGCACTGCGCACAGCACGGTCTGATGTCACCGCTCAGACGGCCGACGGTCACAGACGGCTGACTGGCGAGGGCTGCTGCCGGCGCCCACGCAGTCTCTGTGTTTGTGCTGTGCGGGCGCCGCCGCTGCAGGATGACCGGCAGGCGGAATTCGGATCTGTGCTGTGGGATGTGTCACCGGTGCATGGTCTGGTTCGTATCTGCGGTCTGTGAGGGAGAATTCTGGTGTGTCCGTGTGCCGAGGCCTGTGTGTCACGCCCTGTGCGTGCGGCCTGTACCACCGACGTCGATAAGGCCCGGCCTGTAATTGTGTGTGTGCGTGTGTGCTGTGCCGGCTACCGGCGGTTTCCGTCGCTGGCTATATCGGGGAGCTGTATGTGGGCCGCGCTGCCGCGCCTCAGCCTGTAGCGGTGCCGCCGCGGTTTACGTTCTGCCACGTACCGCCGTCACCGGTAATGTGTCGCCCGTTAGCCGCCGGGTCCGCGCAGACCGTGCTCCTTCCGGGTGTATTCGGGTACCGTGTCGCGCAGCTGACCTGCGCCCAGGGGGTCGTTCACCTCTGACCGGACCGGGCCCTTCGGAAAGGAAATAGGCTGTTCAACATATGAGCCCGGTCCCGGCTGCTCCTTTGCGAAATATGGCGTTTCGCGTCGTCGTCTTCCCTCGAGATTTGTCGACTAAGATGGTTCTTTTCTTTCCGGAGTTTCTGATATGGGGAATTCCGGTGATCATCAACCAGGTATGATTTTCCGATGCCTTTTTTCAAGTGTTGCTCCCGACGGGCGATTAGCCCCATTCCACTGGCTCGGGCCGTTTCTCGCAAGGCCAGGGGTCAAAACAGGTGATTGTTGAACTGCCAGTTGGCCAAGGTGGAGGGACTACCCCAGGGTCTATACTGTACCGAGCATAGCTGACCTGTCACTGATCGGTTTTTAACTCAGGCCTTCCAGCTGCTGCATTTGTCTGCCCACGGCTTCTCATTCCATTAGCTCTCTGATAAAAGGTGGTGGAACGGCCGCTCCTCGGAGCGGATGTAATTACCGACTTTCCGACCGTACATACACCGGGAGATGGGTATCGATCGGTCGACTGACTGGAGCGGGGTCTCCCGGGCAGACCTGTGGTGCAGCCGGCCGCTCCATATGGAGCCGCGGCCCGAGCAGTTTCGATCGGGCCCGATCGGGGCATACCCGCCGGCGCAGCACCGCGTCGGGTCCAACTGCGGTACAGGGAGCCATCTGCGGTGCGGGAGCCGTCTGCTGTGCGGGAGCCGTCTGCGGTACAGGAGCCGTCTGCGGTACAGGAGCCGTCCGCGGTGCGGGAGCCGTCTGCGGTGCGGGGAGCCGCCTGTGCTGTCCTGCAGTGCCGCGTGTCCGCCCGAGTCTGACTGCCAGCTCGTCTGAGTCTGACTGCCGGCCGGAGGCTCTCAGCCGGACCGCGCCCTCCTGTGACTCCGGTGTGCTCTACTGCCTCAGCCGACCGGGCTGCGCCCTCTGGGCCTGCTGCCTCACTCAGCCGGGCCGCGGCGCTCTCTGGGCCTGTGACTGGCGGGCTCTGCTGCCTCGCGGAGCGACCGGGCCGCGGCGCCCTCTGGGCCTGTGACTGGCGTGCTCTGCTGCCTCGCGGAGCGGCGTGCACAGACCGCACCCAGTTTATGACGCGCGGCTCTGTGTGGCGTCTGTGGCTGCACCCGGCCGTCACGCCGGTCCGAGAGGGACGCCCTGCTGCCGGCAGGTCGGGGAGGGACGCCGTGCCGCCAGCAGGTTGTCCGGCCGGGACGTCCTGCAGGTCCGTTCGTCCGTCCTGTTCGGATAACACTGCAGGGTGGTTTGGGCTGTCTGACAGGACGTATTAGAGCCGATATGAGCCATCGCCGGCTCTATTGTGACCGGTGCCCGCCCCTTACCCAGGTGACCTGCGTTCGCAGACGGCGTCCGGTCTGCTGACCCGCCGAGGGTCGGTGAGAATCGGGTCAGCCCGGACCGGAGGGTCTGGCCTGCGACAGACGCTCCAGCTTCGATCGGCCTCCGTCCCTCGTTCCCCGTCTCCCCTACCAACATACGCAGAGGCAGAAGGGGCGCTGCGTGGGACGCCCGGTCGCTGTGCGTCGGGCGCGCAGTCGCGTGCCGTGCCGGGCCGCCGCCCGCGGGGTTCACTGTCCGATTGGGGATGAGGAGGAGGCGGCGCGGCGCAGGCGGCGGCCGGCTGTGCCGCAGTGCCCTGTCGCCAGGCGGCCGGCGGCTTCAGGCCGTCAGCCGATACGGGCGGCGGCGGCGGCGGCATGGCTCGCGCAGCGGTACAGTGACGCCGGTAGTTCGCTCAACTTGGCAATGTGTGTTCAAGGCAAGGTGTGTTGCTTGACAGTTTGCCTCGCGATTCTGCACTCTCAAATCTCAATGCTCACGGATACCTTCCTACCTCTGATTTGTTTTGTGCCCCAGCTTCGAATTACGTGCTTTCTCGGCTGAGCGTTTCGGTATGAGTCAGCGCAGCATGGCTTCCCTGGCTTATGTGAATCATTCGTTTGCTAAAGCCGCGGGGCGCTCACGTGGATCCGGATCCCTTAGGCCGGCCACCTGGCCTAGCCGAGGGAATATGGTCCGTTCACTGGTTACATGCGGACCTCCCGTCACTCTGGGCAAAAATAACTCATGCGGATTCCTTTTGCTACACGTTGTGAAACACCGAGACACGGTGTCGACCGGTGATTCGGCCGAAAAGGCTGACGACTTTACGTCACCACCGGCGTAAGATGTGGACGGCCGACTGGACGGTGTCGCGAAATCGAGGCCGACCGGTGCATTGGAAACTAGCCATGTAGGCTCGGTGCTGATCGTTACAGACCACAAACTACTAATATTCTGGTGTCTTTGTTTTGGTGCCATTTAGCATAAGTCTAACGGGGAAAATCGACCCCATTCACCGGCCACGGCACAGCTGAACGGACGGCGCACGCCGCGTTACGTTATTGGCGGACGCGCGGCTTTCCCGTTCCGTTGTTGGACAGCGCCACCTACATCAGCTGTTTAGTGCGCCGACTGCTCGCTGGAAGCGGCGCACAGCAAAACAAAGGAAATCGGACGGTGGTGGCGTGAGGTTGTGTGGGCGCTGGCTGTGATGTTTAGGTAAGCGGGAAGTAAAGCGTGTGTTTATCACTACAGTCTGTCATAGTGTCAGGCATGGTCGCGATATCCCACTATCGTGAACCTTGGACCTTTGAGTGTGTTCCGGGCGTTGTCAGGGAACGTGCGCTGGCGTGGACGGATCGATCGATTGTGGGTGTTCCGCGCAGCACTTCCCTGGGCCATAGCCCACGACTGCAAAGCTGCATCATTTTTTATATTGTGAAATCGCTATATTTTTGCACTTTGTTTTGGTCCGTTATGCGCATGTTGTGTTCTCCCTCAGCCCTCTTATCTTCTCACTAGTCCAAGTCATGATTCTGATTCATTGATAATTTGAACTGGGTTAGGTAGGTACCTAACTTTTTTGGTAGGTACTTTACTTTTTCTTAATAAAAAGTTTACCTAACTTTTTATTTAATTTCACATGAAACACTTAAGCCTACATGATTGATGGTCTCATCAAACATTTTTTTTTGTCTTTGATGTGAGTTCTGTGCAGTAATTTGCAAGTCAGAATGGAAGCACCCTTGAGGTCTATATGTGACAGTTATTGGAATTTCCTCCTCATACCATAATTATGGGTAGTGCCTGAGTGAAAAACATCTTTATTTGAACATGTTCTTTGTTATTTTAAGTTGCTTTTAATATATTTGTGCCATGTGGTCTTTTTGCCTTCCAAATCTACAAATTTGTCACCAAATATACAGAACATTAGGAAAAATCAATCTCCTTGATACCAATGTGAATTCTCATGTTTCTTCAGCAATGAAAATGGCTCAAGTTCATTGAGCCAGAGCAGAATATTTCTTTAGTGCACAAAGAGCAATTGTCTTTTACCCAGCTCCTTGGCTCACGAGTCCTGGACATAACCAGCCCAGATCACCCCTGTTCACCCAGGTGTGAATGCTCGGTCTGATCTGCTCTCACCCCTGCCCGCTCAGACAGCTCCCGGCTGACCCGGCCGCCCTGTATCAGCGGGCTGAGTCCGCTCGGAACACCCCCTCCCGGCTGACCCGGCCCGGGCCGCCCTGTATCAGCGGGCTGAGTCCGCTCGGAACACCTCCTCCCGGCTGACCCGGCCGCCCTGCCGCTGTGTTTCAGAGCTGGGTGATCAGATGGGGCGCCAGTGAGAGGCCACACCAGCCACCAGCGCGCGCCACTGACGGGACATGAAGCCCCGGTCCTAGCAGTGAACTACTACCGCCCACACCAGCACACATACACACACAATGGATAGTTTGGGCGAGTACGAGTACTCATCCAAAGATCTCATCGGACACGGCGCCTTCGCCGTCGTCTACAAAGGGAAGCTGAAGCAGGTGAGGCCGCCGGCGACGACTGGAAGGGCGATAAAATCACAGTAACGTAACACTATCCCCGGTCGGTGACTTGTGGTCGGTACACGCATTGATCAGTGATCTGACGAGTGCTATTTCAGCGCCATATGTAATACAGTAGGATGGAAAGGCTGGAACTCCTGGCTTTCCATCAAGACGCTTCTGCTGAAGACATTCCTTCTGGCGCAGATAATGCTCAACCCACCGATACGCTTCTCATTTTGGGTTTTAGCAAGTGGAATCGTCTTAGGTCGTAGAATAAATGGTCATCATACGTAGGTTTCCGTCAAGAGATGCTTAACCACGCGCCCTATTTCAGAACCCAGAGTTTGTGGTGGCCATCAAAAGCATCACCAAGAAGAACCTGGCCAAATCTCAGAGTCTGCTCAGCAAGGAGATAAAGATTCTGAAGGAGCTGACCGAGCTGCGCCATGAGAACATCGTGGCGCTGCTGGACTGCAAGGAGTCCGCCAACCACGTCTACCTGGTCATGGAGGTGGGTGCGGACAGAATCTGGTGGTGACAGCTAGTGCTAGACCGGGTGGGTGCGGACAGAATGTAGGGGGGTGATGGCCAGACCGGGACGGGTGGGTGCGGGTAAGATAGAGGAGGGGGGGGGGGTGAGACCACGTCTACCTGGTCATGGAGGTGGGTGCAGACAGAATGTGGGGGTGACAGCTAGTGCTAGACCGGGTGGGTGCGGACAGAATCTGGGGGTGACAGCTAGTGCTAGACCGGGTGGGTGCGGGCAGGGTAGAGGAGTGACAGCCAGTCCGGGACGGGTGGGTACAGGTATAACACAGGGGGCGATAGCCAGTCTGTGACTGAGGCGGGTGCGGGAAGAACGTAAGGGCTATAGCCAGTCTGTCTATAGTAGAGGTGGCAAAATGTGGACCCGAGGACCCGGTCCAAAGAACCAGTCTGGACCCATATGGGTCCAGACCGGTTCCTGGAAATTTTCTGATGGGTCCAACCGGGTCCTACCATAAACTATACATCTTGCACACTACACATTATTGCAAAATATGAAGTGAATTAAGTGAATGTTTCTTTGCGCACAGTAGCTCATGAGTATTTCCAATTGGAAATAGGCTGTTTTACATGATGCAACTAATGATACCTACAAGTAGTTTGTATCCATTGACTTTTGGGGAACGGGTCCAACTGGTTCCGATTCCAACTAAGACCGGGTCCGACTGGTTCCAGAAATGTCCAGCCGGGTCTGGTTCGAGTCTGGTTCCCAACATTTTCATCTTTTGCCACCTCTAGTCTATAGCCAGGTACTGGGCGAGCTGTGACGGGTGGGTGCCAGGGTGGGTGCTACGTGTGGGTGTGACAACCAGTAAGCTTCTGATGTCTACATATTAGCTGTGCCCGAAGCAGAGTCGGCCCCACTCAGTACCCGGTCAGTATCCAGTTGGTACTAGTCAGCGCCACCCAGTCGGTACCCGGTCAGTGCTCAGTTAATACCCAGTCAGTAACCTGTTCCGTGTGGCCGGCTCCGTGCGGCGCCGGCCGGTGTTTACGGTGGGACCTGGCGGCACAACACCACCGGGCGGTCACGGCCACTGTCTGCCGACACTGAGTAGCTGTGGGAGCCGCCACCGGGCCGGAACGGCCGGCCGCGCGCACAGGGACTCGTAACACCGGGCCCGGCCAGCCGCTCGCCCGCCGCAGCTGCTCAAACCGGCGGTGTGTCGGCCTGTCCGTGATACGGCATACGCAGCCTCGGGTCCGGTCTCTTTGTCTCCGGGCCCGCGGTGACGTTAAACTGAAACGATGAGATCACCTGAGACGGATACCAGATCCCTTTGTATCATTTTCTGCTATACATCCGGTAGAGCAGTTGATAAGGTTCTGCCGCGGAGTGCCCACCCCGCCCCACTCCACGCGTGCGATTATCTGCGTCTATATACATCCGCGCTGACATCCGGTGTGGTCTGTTTTCAGTACTGCAACGGCGGTGACCTGGCAGACTACCTCCACGGTGAGTGTGTGCCGACGGCTGCCCTCCGGCCCCGCCGGGTCCCCGGGTGTCGGTCCGACCCGCTCCTCTCACTGTCACCGGGCAGACTCGGTCGGCGGCGGCGGCGAGCTAAAATCGTTATCCCCGCGCGGCCGGGTGGGATCGGACCGGAGTGAACCGGAGAGTCCTCTGAGGCCGGAGCCGACCGCCGCTGGGTCGTTGGGTGTTTGTTTTGCGGCGGAGCCGGGCTGCCGGGCAGGGAACGACCCGCGCCAGTACCGCGTAGGAAGCACACGGTGCACCTGGGACGGGGCGATCCGCGGAAAATCGCACCGTCACGACAGGAAAGGCCCCGCCGCATGAGGTCGTCTTTGTAACTGATCAGTGCGACTGCGGACCCAATGGCTTAGACCGACCGGTTGGTGGTTCGGTTTGGTTTTTAGGTGAATCACTGGGTGCCGCCACCAAAAATCACCTGCCAATTGTATCGGCCTGGGATGAGGATAACCTTGTGGCCTGTGCAAGGTAATTGTTTGCAGCAGAAATGACGGATAGATGGGTAGATTGTTCCGAACAGTCACTGAATTATCTCAAACTGTGCTTTGCCACGTTTTGAAGGGAATCTTGTCATGTGGGGCCTCCGCTCTATCTGAGGACAGTCGGTCTGACCTGCCCCCCTCTCTCCCGCAGCCAAGGGCACGCTGTCGGAGGACACGATCCGTCTGTTCCTGCGGCAGCTGGCCGGCGCCATGCGCGCACTCCACGCCAAGGGCATCATCCACCGCGACCTGAAGCCGCAGAACATCCTGCTGTCGCACCACCCCGGCCGCGCGCGGCCGGCGCCCACAGACATTCGGCTCAAGATCGCCGACTTCGGGTTCGCGCGCTTCCTGCAGGACGGCGTGATGGCGGCCACCCTCTGCGGATCGCCCATGTACATGGTGAGTAGAGGCTGCCTCTGCGGATCGCTTATGATGAGTAGTGGCCACCCTCTGCGGATCGGCCGTGTGTATGGTGAGTAGGGGGGGGGAGGGGGGTATTTTGGCAATTAGTCGAGGAATTCTTGTTGCAACTAACGAAGGCTCGCACTAAGAGTTTTTCTTGCTGATGTTCTCAAGACAAGTGAAACATAAGGGGCATTGTAACGAGCAGTTTGACATCGTCTGGCGTATTTAAGAATCTGTTTGGGCTTGTTTTGCGGTTGGCCGGTGGTCCGATTGCCAACCCTGTCTGTAATTAGCCGCAATAGGTGCAATCGATGTGCCCAATACTGATGGGGATCGCCGTGTCGCCAGACGTAAGCCGCTTATCGTGTGTTTTCGCCGCGGTATCTGTGTGCTGCCGGCTGCAGGGGGCTCACAGGCTGCAGAGCCGGTTGTGAGGGGCGGGCCGGGGCGTGTGCGTCCCCAGACACGCACGGCACTGACTGCAGGCGCGTCCGGTGTTTGTCCTGGGCCGGTAGCCGCCGTGTTGCTAGGGGCGGCTGGGGGCTGCGCAATACCCACCACAGCAAACAGAGGTATCTTATCGAGAGGCCGCCACCCCTCGGACGGTGCTGGAGGGACGCGGCGGCTGAGCGTCCCCCGGTGCAGCCCTGGGGTCCTGTCCCTCCGCCCTGAGCTGTCCCGGCGGACGGGGACGTGACGCCTCCCCCTCCCTGCCCTCTCCGCAGGCCCCCGAGGTGATCATGTCGATCCAGTACGATCTCAAGGCGGACCTCTGGAGTCTGGGCACCATCGTCTTTCAGTGTCTGACGGGAAAGGCGCCGTTCCACGCCAACACGCCGCAGGCGCTCAAACAGTTCTACGAGCGCAACGCCAACCTGTCGCCCAAGTGAGTGTGACGCGCGGACCGGGCCGGGCGGGGTGGTTTGGTGTACCGCACGTATGTACCGAGCGGGGACGGGTACCACTCGACACGTGCAGCGGCGCCGGCCGTGTCGGCCGCTCGTCACCGCTGGCCTTGGTGGGAGCTGAACTCTGAAGGTTGCCGGCGCCGTGGGAAGCGGCCGGGCGCGCCGCCGGGGGTCGCCGACCCGCCGCCGGCGCGCTCATTGTTGCAGGGAGCCGGGCTGCCGGAATTATTGTCACTCACGCACCCGGCTACAGTGGAAATCGGAGCCCGGTTTCGTCTGTTTATTTTTGTATTGCATCGGGGGTAACGTGTTGTGGAATCTTTTGGAGTCTCCTAACGCAAAACGATTTCGTAGTGATCACACTGAAATGTTACTGTTATTTATCCCCAAATAGGAAGACACTAAATATCTTACGAGCATGTTGGCTTTCTGTTTGCATTAATTTCATCGTTGCTTTAATTTCATCATTGCAATAGTAACTTTAAAAGACAGGTTATTTATAATTTCTCTTGGTTACTTTTCATCTATCACGTTCACATTGCTGGTGAATACCGCCCTGTCCCGCTCGGCGTTTGTTCCGGCCGTTCCGTGACTGCAGTGCGTGCTCCTTTATCGAGCGGTCCGCGGCGTCCCGTATTGGTCCAGGTCGGTCGGCCGCGTCCCTCGGTCTGAGCCCCTTCCCCCGCCCCGCCCCGCGCCGCCTGCAGGATCCCGCAAGGCACCTCGGCTGACCTCAGCGACCTGCTGACGCGGCTGCTGAAGCGCAACGCGCGCGACCGCCTGGAGTTCGACGAGTTCTTCAGCCACCGGTTCCTGCGGCCGGCGGCGGCGGCGCGCGTCAGCTCGGCGCCGGTCAGTGCCGCGCTGCCGGCCGACGCCGGCTCGGCGCCCTCGCCGCTGTCCAGCAGCCCGGCGCCGGCCTCTCCGCCGCCGCAGTTCTCTGCGCCGCCGAGCCCGCGGCCGGGCGCGCTGCCGCCGCCGGTGTCGCGCAGCCCGACGGCGGCGGCGGCGGCGCCGGCCGCGGCCGCTGCCGCCCGCCGTCCGCCGCAGCAGCCGCAGCCAGACGTCGACGAGGAGGGGTTCGTCATCGTCTCCAGCGACATGACGGAGGAGCTGCCCACGGCGCGACTGGCCCGGTGAGCGCACTGCCGACCGCCGACACGGGCACGGTCTCTGTGGGAGGCTAGGTCTCACAGGGTGCCTGCCAACTTTTTTAATGTTAACAGTCTTCAGCTTTTGACATTTCGTGAGAAACTATTGATGTTAAAAATTGAGGAATGGCCTTAGAATGAAATAAGTGATATTCGATAAGCATATAACTCTGCTCTTGCTACCCATCTATCAAATGAAGCTACTATGAACCAGCATCGACACCTTCGTGCCACCGCTGTTCTCCGATCTGATCCGTCCCGCCCTGACCCGGCCTCCGGTGCCGGGCTGCCTCTGACCTGACCGTCAGTCTGTGTCTCGACAGCGTGCCCTCGGCGGGCTCGGACACGGCGCGGCCCATGTCCGGCTCGCCGGGCGGACAGCACAGTCTGATGGCCGAGCCGCAGCCGGTGCCCTCGCAGAAGCACACCTACCAGCTGCTGCGCCAGTCGAGCGGCGGCAGCGGCGGCGGCGGCGGCGGCCCGCGGCCGGCCGGCCAGCCGCCGCCGGCCGAGGTGAACGCCCGCTCCATGTCGCCGCCGGCCGTGCAGTTCGTGCTGGGCCCGTCGCCGGCCGGTGGCTCGCCGCGCCGCTGGTCGGTGGGCAACTCTCCGCCGCCGGTGCGCAGCCCGGTCAGCCCGCGCCGGCGCAGCGGCCGCCTGACGCCGCCGGCGCTGCCGCCCGTCACCGAGGCGGCCGACCGCAGCCTGGTCAACATGCGCAGCGTCGACAGCTGCGGCAACATCAGGTGAGCCGTCGCGCCGGCCGGCCATCCGGGGACCCAATGCCTGTCTCAACTGGAATATCATCAGTCACAAAGGATACACATTAAACTGACAGTCGATGCAGCATTGTAACTGGCTGTCTGTTTGACCAGCTCGTATGTACGTAGGGACCGCTCTCGCTGTGACCACGTCCTGGTGTGTGCCACTGGTGTGGTGTATCACTGGCTCTGTCCTCACGGTGCTCCCGGTGCCGTCACAGGTCTCTGGGCGGCCGGGCGATGACGCTGCCCGAGATGGCCTGCCACCCGCTGCAGTTTCACCGGTCGCGCACGGACGCCAACCTGCCGTTTCTGCCGCGTCGCGCCGGCCTGCCGCACAACATGGTGGTGCCCTACCAGAGCGGCGCCGCCAGAGACTCGCACACCAGTGAGTGGCAGCGGGAGGCAGAGGGAGGGGAGGGAGAGGGGAAGAGGGAGGGTGAGGAAGGGAGGCGTTCACTGAAGCATGAGGCCGAGGAAGGAGACTCGTCTCAGCGGTCGGAGGTGGGCCTATTCTGGGAGCGGCGGGAGGCGGCACCGCGGTAGGTGGAGGGCGCAGCGGCACGTGCCGAGGAGTTATGTGCGGCCGGGTGGTCGGTGTGCCGAGCAGGCATGCGACGATCGCGGCGCGCGCCATTAGGCTCTGAAATAGAACCATCCGCTGATGGAGAGGTCGTTAACCTGCCTGGGGCGCGACTGACTTCGTCTCCGGCTGCGCCGCGGAGAAGTTTTGACAGAGTTCTCGATCTAGGATTACGTCTGTCCATTTATCATTCTGGTGGAGTTTGGCTGGCGGGCTGTTTGGGTGAAGCTGATGGTCCGTGCAGTATAGTTGGCAGTACCGGCGTCCTTGGTGTCCGGCCAGCCGGCGGTGTCTGCGCCCGCTCCGCTGACCGTCCCCGGGGCTCGATATCGATCGTCACGGGGGAGTCAAGTGACGTGACCCACCTCCACCATTTGCCGGCTCCTCAGCACGGGCCTGGCGCGGCGGCGGCACCGGGGGTAGCCCCCTACCGGTCCTACCTGCGTCCCACCAGGGAGGGGTCTAGACCCGTCCCACCACGCAGTATGGGCCAGAACAAAAACGGAGACCAGCTAATTCACAAGCTTCTTCGCGCGTCGAATTTCCGAGCGTAGTCTGGTGCCAGAACCAATCCTCCATCACGTGTTACGTAACATCCAATAGACTATCGCAGGTTGCGCCCCTGCCAAAGCTGACTCCGGAGATAGGGCAGTCTCCCCCATCAATCACAGCTGAGCGTCGTCGATATCCCCGTCCTCATCAACATAACCATTTCCGTGACTATCGACGTCACCATTTCCGTGCTGGTCAGCGGCCGGCGCTGGCCGGCGCCGTCTCCGAACACTGACGATGGTCCGCTCCCGGCGCTGGCCGGCGCCGTCTCCGGGCGCTGACGATGGTCCGCTCCCGGCCCGGTCCGGCGGTGTTGGCCGTCCAGCTCGCTCAGCATGGAGCCGGCTAGGGAGGAGCGGCTCACACGGTGCGCGTGGGCGGCAGGACTGTCGGTAGCTCGTAACTGCCCACACAACAGTCTCGCAGCGGCCGTTACAGCCTGTTGTAACTTTGTTTATGATGGTGCGCCAACTAACAACTAGGAGTCCTAGTTCTCGTGGCGGTTCAAACACTCAACTCTGTCCGTTGGCAACCGCTGCAGCGCCGCTCGTTGAGCTCGGCTGTTATCTCTGGCTCCGTTACGACGCTGGAGGGACGCCGGTTGCGCGCCCAGTATTTGGACTGGAGCGGAACAGCGACTGCCACTCCCCGTGTGCGGTACACCAGTCGGACGGGCCGCGCCGGGGCGGTGGCCGGTGTGTCGTTCCCCTGCGTGCGACTCCATGTCGCACCCAGTCCGTTTGGCACGGTCTGACTCCCAATACGGCCTGGGTCAGGTGACGCTGCCTGGCCCAGTTTGGGACGCGGCCTGTGTCAGAGCTGGGTCCGGTGACCGCCGGCCCAGCCTACTGGGTGCAGTGGCACGGTCTGGGTCAAAGCTGTGCTCAGCGCGCCGGCACGGACCGTCGGCCGGCGGCGGCGCGGCGCCGACCATTGATCCCGCCCGACCCTGGGAGAGAGAGGGAGGGGGAGGGGCGGCCCATCCGGCGCCGAGCCGAGCTGTATATAAACAGAGCCTGACGTCAGAGCGGCCCGCCGGCGGATCACCGCGGGCGCGCTGTGACGGCGCCGGGACTGAGGGTGTCCTCAGGCTGGGGGTCGGGCGGCCCGCCGGAGGATCACCGGCGGCGCGCTGTGACGGCGCCGGGACTGAGGGTGTCCTCAGACTGGGGGTCTGGTCGGGCGGCCCGCCGGAGGATCACCGGCGCCGGTCGTCAGCCGGGACTGAGGGTGTCCTCAGGCTGGGGGTCAGGGCGGAGCGGAGCGGGTCGATATGAAGACCATCACTGTGACGGCGGCCCTGGTTTGGAGTCGCTCCAAGGTCGCTGTCCCCGCGCCGCTGGCTCCGTTTAGTCTGTGACGGCCGGATGACAGGTCACGGCCCCGTTTGTTGTCAGATGTGCCGCTCACCAGGTGACAGACGCTCCCCCTATGCCTGCTTGCACTGTTATCTCCTGCTCAGTCTCTGATTCGGGTGATGCTGTTTGTATCGAGTGTTGACTGGAGGGGAGCGCGGGGTGACAGCGGTGACCCGGGCGGGCTGGTGTCTCTACTCTGACTGATCCGGTGCCAGTGTGACCGACCCGCCCCCTCCGTCTGTCCGTCCGCAGGTCCGCCGCGCGCGCCCGACAACCTGGCCTTCCCGGAGTCGCCGCACATCACGGCGTTCGGCCCGTCGCCGCCGTCGCTGGAGCCGCCGCTCATGTTCACGGCGCCCGAACTGCGCGAGGAGACCCTGCTGGACGTGAGTGCGGGACCGGGACCGGGACGGACCGGGACGGCGGCTGTGACCTTGGGGCCACTGCACGGACGTCCCCGTATGATTTACAGCTCTGTCGCAGCAGGCCCTCAGTGAGGATTAGTGCACCGACCGGCCGGCCGGTGACAGCACTCTGATTTATTTTTGTCGAGTAATGTGATTTTCCTTCCCTGTTACCAGCACCTACCAGCGTTTGTTTGCCCGGTTTGATGTGCGCCGTAAAGCTGCATTGCGGTACAACTGCACCCCTTGTGGCGTCGAATTCAAACTACTCATGGTCATATGACTTGGCAACAGCGCGCTGTTTTGTTTTAGTTCAATGGCCATGCAATTCTTCCGTTTTACTCTGCTGGCAACTGTCCGCTCCATAATAGATCCACAATACGCATCCCTTGTTACCATTATCAATGTATGTGTGCAGTAACAGGTGCTGCATTGCTACCTTGCTGCATACATGACTGGTTACCCGTCGGTGGAGTTCGCTGCGCTCCGTCTGTTCCGTGGATAGTTCGCTGCCCTCCGTCTGTTACGTGGATAGTTCGCTGCCCTCTCCCGTCTGTCGCCGTGCCTCTGTTCCCGGCGGGTTGTCTGTTGTCTGTCACCTTCACACCACGCGCCGCGCCCCTCCCTGTCCGCCTGTGACCGCTGGGCCGGCTCTGACCGCGCCGCCCGCCGCTCCAGGAGGCGCACAACGAGACGCTGACCAAGCTGAACTTTATCATGGCGCTGGTCGGCTGCATCACCGAGCTGGCAGACATCAAGGCGACGCCGTTCTCCGCGCTGGCCGGTGAGTGCCCTACCAGTCCCGATCCCCTGTGAGCGGTCAGACGGGGCGGGGTCCCTAGACGGCGGGTGACTGGTTTTATTAACGGAGATGGCCACTTTGTTCCGGTGACTGATGCCTCCCGTTGTGTCGGCGATTGCCCCTGCGCGTGTCGTGTCCGGTCTCTGTTTCTGCGGACCGCCGCCGGCCCGCTCTGTATCTTTGTGACCCGCCCTGCCCTCTGCGCAGAGTCGGTGCGGTGGGGGCGCCCGCCGCCGGCCCGGCCCACTCTGTGACCTGTCCCGCCCTCTGCGCAGAGTCGGTGAGGGTGGAGGCGCCGCCCAGCGAGCAGCAACGCAAGCTGGAGCAGCTGATGCTGCACGCCAAGGCGCTGCAGCTGCTCTCGTCGGCGCTGTCGCTGGCCAAGGAGCAGCTGCGCGCCGGTCAGCTGGAGCCCACCGTGGCCGTCCGGAGAGGTGAGCACGGGGACGGGCACAGGGCGAGTCACTGGACTCACCTGGGGAGGGTCGGAGACTGAGCTCACCTGGGCCGGGTCGGGCAGACCGGATCACCCGGCGCCCCGACCACCGGCAGACAACAAAGACTGGGCTCGGACCGGTCGGTCCACTGTGCCGGTCTGGCGGCTGCTGTCAGTGACTCTGGTGGTCTGCCGGCTGTCCGCTCCAGTGACGGCTGACCAGTGGAGGGCGGCCGTCTGTCCGCTCCAGTGGCGGCTGACAAGTGGAGGGCGGCCGTCTGTCCGCTCCGAGCGGGCCGGCTGACCAGTGGAGGGCGGCCGCCTGTCCGCTCCAGTGGCGGCTGACCAGTGGAGGGCGGCCGTCTGTCCGCTCTGCTGGACAGCTGACCAGTGGAGGGCGGCCGTCTGTCCGCTCCGAGCTGACCAGTGGAGGGCGGCCGGCCGTCCGCTCCAGTGGCGGCTGACCAGTGGAGGGCGGCCGTCTGTCCGCTCCAGTGGCGGCTGACCAGTGGAGGGCGGCCGGCCGTCCGCTCCAGTGGCGGCTGACCAGTGGAGGGCGGCCGTCTGTCCGCTCCGAGCTGACCAGTGGAGGGCGGCCGTCTGTCCGCTCCAGTGGCGGCTGACCAGTGGAGGGCGGCCGCCTGTCCGCTCTGTGCGGTACAGCTGACCAGTGGAGGGCGGCCGGCCGTCCGCTCCAGTGGCGGCTGACCAGTGGAGGGCGGCCGTCTGTCCGCTCCAGTGGCGGCTGACCAGTGGAGGGCGGCCGTCTGTCCGCTCCGAGCTGACCAGTGGAGGGCGGCCGTCTGTCCGCTCCAGTGGCGGCAGGTGGCGCGGACGGTACCTGCGGGGATCGGCGGGCAGGGTGACACTCGTTACCGAGACACCGGTCCGACCGTGACGGTGAATCGGCGGTCAACGGTCGGTGACGGGACTGGATGGGTGACGGCTCGAACCGGCACGGGCATCGTACGGATGGGGGCCAACATTGCTGACAAAGTTAGATGCGATTGTGAGGGATGATGCTGTGCTGCTGTCTTTTCTCAAAGCGTTCGGCTCAGCTAGCCCAGGAAGTTTAACTTACCAGAATAATCATACAAACATTCTCGACAGCCTGGTGGTGTCATTTTGTAGCAATATTTATTGCCTTAATCGTTTTAAAAAAGGTTTGTTGGCACTGCAGTTAATGATTGAGATCCGACTACTTACATTCGGAAGAATATCGTCCTTCAACCTGATGCTCGGAATCCTTCCACTGCATGTAAAAATGTATGTCATTCAGCCAGAAACGGCAGCAGAATGTGGCTGCGACAGTGACTGATGAATCAAATTCCAATTTCAAAACGTGAACAAAGAGCGGCGAAATGGAAATAGAGCTGACCTTCCTTTCGCTCCACCTCGCGATTCCTTTTTAACCGGCTTTGTTCGGGCTGACATCCAGTGAGTGACCAGCTGGCCGGTTCACGGTGTGGTGACGGCGCGGCCTCTGTGACCCCGCGCCCAGTGCGCCGCCCCCCCCCCCCGACCCCGCGCGCCGCCGGCGTATATTCGGATGCAGTATGAGTAGAGCATGGGTCCCGAAAAATTCCTCAGAAACTAGAGAAATTCTCGCGGCCACCGGCATTTAGGCGATCTGCTCGTGCTTTTGTCACTGGAGCGCTTCTTTCACGGAGATTGCGCCGGCCGCCTGCAACGGACGAAAAATACACGGCTTTGCAATCCGGCTGATCGTGGGAAAATACAGCCGGAGGTCTCGGCTCTATGCAGGTATACCACCGGGAGAGATGTATTTATTGTATAGTATTTATATACCACTGGCTCGATGTATAGCCTGCAAGTTGGCTTTGGTGCAAACATGTCAAACAGGGTATAGGGCGAATCGATGTAAACAAATCAGACGTTCAATTGACAATTTCCGATTCTTATTCGATAATTACGACCAATTATATTTTATTTTGGGAAGTGTTATTGGGACCGGAGCAATAAAATCTCATTTTCCCCTGTCTCCTTACCTATCTCCCAAACCCCTTGCTCACGATCATCTTTCCTTTCTTTAGGTATCAGTCTCCTTCCCGTCCTCCCCGAGTCTCTGACAAGTAATATCCATATCTCTAAGTCTTTTCCTTCATCTGAGATCCTCCTTTCTCTCACCACCCTTCTCTCTCTCTCTCACCACCCTTCTCTCTCTCTCTCTCTCTCTCTCTCTCTCTCTCTCTCTCTCTCTCTCTCTCTCTCTCTCTCTCTCTCTCTCTTTCTCTCTCTCTCTCTCTCTCTCTCTCTCTCTCTCTCTCTCTCTCTCTCTCGTCCGTCTGTCCATCTCTTTGTCCGTCTCTCCGTCCGTTCGCCCGCCCTTCCGTCTCTCAGTCCGTCCGTCCGTCCGTCCGCCCTTCCGTCTCTCAGTCCGTCCATCCGTCCGTCCGTTTCTCCATCCGTCCGTCCATCAGTCACTCTCTCCGTCCGTCCGTCATCAGTCTCTTCGTCCGTCCATCCGTCTCTCCGTCCGTCCGTCCGTCTCTCCGGAGGTGCAACTTTTCCCAAATAGTTCTTGGAACGTCACACAGTAATGTATATCGAACCCACATATTACATAGAGGTGCAACTTTTTCAGGTCCCACGTTCACCACGTCCAACGTTCTAACAGGTCCCAATTTTCCTGCCTTTTGGGTCATTGACCTGACCTGGAAGGTCAACCGATGACCTAGGACCTTAAAATTGGGTATCATCGGCTTCCTCTCGTCACGGGCAACACGCTGGTTTTTTTCCGCGAAGCTCTAGCTTGATCAGGAGCGAAACGGCAAGGGGTTATACCTTATACGTTCGCGGCTGGAAAAAAAAAACACCTATACGGGCGAGGGTCAAGTTGAAAGTATTAATTTGGTTCAAAACGATGATGTAGATAAGTTAATTATTTAAATCTAAATATCCTATGACGAGAGCGATGGACATTTTTGGTATGCAGTGTTATCCATTGAAAACAGGTCAAAGCTATTGAGTTTTTAATTTAGTGGTCGCCGCTTACTAATCATGCGGCATACACGCCGCACATAACCGCCAATGCCGCAACGCAGCTTGAATTTCGAAGTAAGCATTTAGTCTCACCCGCATTCATATGGTACCCGTCGTGTGTGTCCGAGAATTTCTCTAGTTTCTGAGGAATTTTTCGGGACCCATGCTCTGCTCATACTGCATCCGAATATACGCGCGCCGCCGGCCTCTGTGACGCCGTGCGCAGCGGATGTCTCTGAAGGTCAGCCGACGTCTCCGGTCGGGGCGGCGATGCGGCTACTCTAGCCCCCCCCCTTGCTGACCTTCCCGGCTGATCAGGGGGGGGGGATGGCCGCCGTATTTATCTAATCATGACAGGCGCGGCGTCATGTTCAGGGGTTCTCAAACCGGCGCCGGCCGCCGCTCGGTGGCCGTTACCGCCGGGAGGTGGTCAGAGGTGACCCGTAGCCAGCCAGACAGGGAGGATAGGAGCAGTGACTTATCTGACTGTCGGTATAGGATGCCTCGGTGTCTGTCGTCTCAGTACAGTGTGCCGTTCTTCTGACCGACCAGTTGGATGTCCCCGAGCTTTGATAGCGGAGCGGTCGGTTATGTAGTATCAATCCGTGATGAACTAGGGGAAGACAGGGATGGGGGGGCGGGGGGGGGGGGGGGGTCCGCCAGTCCCGGTCCGGAGTAGAGCCCTGGACAGTCGCGCCGTCCTGTCCATCGCCACGACTGTCCGGTGAGGGCAGTGAAGGCCGCCTCTGACTGTGGCTGCTCCGCGGTGTCTGACCGTCCGCCGGTCCCGTCTGTTTCAGTGCTGCACCAGATGAACGACACGTTCCGCCGCTGTCTGCAGGCCTGCCAGCACCTCAACCAGGGCAACGTGGTCGAAAAGTCCGGCCTCGACGTGTTCTCGTGCCACGTGCAGGCCGACAAACTCATCTACGAGCACGCCATCGAAATGGTACGTCCACCGCGCCGGGCCGCAGCTCTGCGTCCACGGCGCCCGGCCGCAGCTCTGTGTCCACGGCGCCGGGCCGCAGCTCTGCCCGGGGAACAGGGAGGCTGGGTGACGGGCGAGCCCAGATATATGCTGGAAAACATCGAATTTTGATTTTGTTCATCGTAAAAATTTATTTTCTGACGATTTGGGACTTAAAAATGTTGCGGGTACGGGTAGATATATCGTCAGCCGCTGCCCTGGTGTCGATGGTGTTCTTTTAGCCCAGTGACGCCACATATCGGCCGGGCCGGTGTTTTGTTGATGTGATTCGATCTGTGTGGAGGGCGCCGTGCGTCACTGGCTGGCGGCGACTCAAGGTGAACGGATGACGTCATCGTCGGCGGTGACGTCACCGCTGTCTCCGACGGGTCGCGGCACGCTGCGGGCTCGTGATGAGCGGCCGCCGCCAGCCAAATTGAGCGGCCGCCAGCCAAGCTGAGTGGCTGCCACCAGCCAAATGAGAGCGACGCCCTCTCGGCTGACGCGGGCGCCAGAATAGCAAGGGTAGAGAGAGAATATCATCAGAGACTGGCCCAGGACTCTCCATTTTAATCTTTCGTGACACATGTTGTGGAATTTCGCTAGTCTCGTCCGCCAGCTTATCGACGCCACTGTGACCTCTGGTGATCTCTGGTGACCCTCCGCTGACCTCTGGTGACCTCTGGTGACCCTCTGCTGACCTCTGATGACCCCTGGTGACCCTCCGCTGACCTCCGGTGTCCCCCGGCCGTTGCAGTGCCAGCAGGCGGCACTCGATGAGCTGTTCGGTAATCCCAACGAGTGCTTCCACCGCTACCAGACGGCGCACATCCTGTTGCACGCGCTCTCACAGCAGACCAAGTGCGACCACGACCGCAAGGCCCTCGAGCGCTGTGAGTACCCTCTGGGACAGGGACAGGGCGGGGCGGGGGCGGCCACCGCACTGCACCGTCTGCCCCTGCTGATCTCCTTCCTGTGTCTGTGCGCAGTGTAGGCTGTACCGGCCTCTGTGTCCCACCGCTGGACTGGGCTCCGTGAAACTGTGTATAACTACTGTTGTATATACCAGTCGGCAGGTCTGCCCCCCGCCCCGCCCGTCTGAGGGCAGAGCACTGACCACCTTCTCCCTCGCTCTCTCCCCGTCCGTAGACGGGGCACTGACCACCTCCCTCCCTCTCTCCCCGTCCGTAGACGGGGCACTGACCACCTCCCTCCCTCTCTCCCGCAGACAAAGACGCCGTGGAGAAGCGGCTCTTCATCCTCAAGGATCACGGCATTAACATTTACACGGTGGACAGCGGCGCCAACTGAGCGCGCCGCCCGCCGCTCTGGCCCCCCCCCCCCCCCGACCCCGACCCGTCGCCGTGACCCCCTCTCCCCCCCCCCCCTGGTCTCCTCCCGTGCCGCCGACCGGCCCGCCAACGATTCCTAGCCCCGAGTCAGCTTCGTGAGCGCCGGCGGCGGAGGCAGCCGCCCGGCGCCGAGCCGCGACCCGTTTCATATCTTCATACAGAGTGGGTCGCCCGGTCGGGCCATATACGTGTTTCTGGTGTGTGCTGACCTGTGTGTGGGTGTGTGAGTGTGTGGGTGGGTGGGTGAGGGTATGTGCGGACCCGAGGAGGGTGGGATTTGCTGTAACGCGCCGACTGCGGGCCGCCGCGGCCCGTCGGTACAGGAGCGCTCCCCGGCGGCCGCGGGTAGGCCACAGGGCCGGGGAGCGGCCGGCCGGGCGCCGCGCGACGACCGCCCAGTATTGGTTTGTGGCGGATCGTCGGGGCCGCCCGGCGGCCGCTCCGAGTAACTGTAGTTAGCGCGCCGTCCGCCGGATGGCGCCGTGTTCGCGGCAGAGGCGCAGCCGCCGCCGTCTGAGCCATATATCCGTGTGTACCGATAATAGAGAGCCGGGACTGTGCGCGGTCCCGGCCGAGCCGCCGCCGCCGCTGACCCGTATAGTGTCGTTTGTGATAGTCATCATGAGTTGTTTCAGTTCATGCTTGGTTGTGTACAGCGCTTATTTCATTCTCATACACGATGAGTACCTGGATTATTCCCAGTCAGCACTGTCTAACTGAACGTATTGTCTTTCGCTCATTGAAGTTTTAAACATTGCATTGCAATCAGGTATGCGTGCTGTGTTGCGTTGTCTCAATTGTAAAATACCTTCGTTGGATACATTGACCGTAGATGTTATTTAAAGCTGTACAAATAAATGTTGCACACTATCCTGAGTGCAGGGTTTGTTGGATCGTGAGGCGGGAATATGAGGTCCGGGAGGTCAGCTGCTCCCTAATTAACCGGTCTGTGAGTGGCAGGACATGAGGGTGCTTCCTCCGGTCTGTAATTGGCAGGACATGAGGGTGCTTCCTCCGGTCTGTAATTGGCAGGACACTGGCGTGAGCGACTCATCAACTCTAAATGGAGATAAATCAAGTGCGCTTCTCCGGTGGGACCAGGCCCGGCGAATTTACAATCCTCGCATGGCCCAGAGAAACGCACTGCGCCGTTCTAGGCCCTTGGGTTTCATTTAGGAGGGGACCTCCGCCGACCTAAGGCGAACAACGTTTGCAATGCAACAACTTTGCATCTCATACTTTTACAGAACGGTGCCACTTTAAGACGTTTAACTCAGACCGATTAGCCTTAAATTGTTCGTGTGAGTGCGATGTGAACGAAGCGAAGCCCTCCGCACTATGCTCCCACCAGACGAACAGTAATGCCGCAATGGTACTGAGGTCGGGATGTCGCCGTGAAAAATAAAAAGCACTTGAGAACGATTTTGTACACCCACGGCCACCTGTCACAACCAAATAACTACACATGACATAAAACAACGAAATACGCTTTATTTCATCCACGGGAACACTGCAACACACAGTCATCTTTCAGCAGCCATCCTTCAGTTGTACGAGGGAGACTGAGCCAGAGCAGCGCGCCGGTCAAACTCCATCTGAAAGGCCCTCTTGGCCTCAGCCACCTCGTAGGTGTCCTGGACGGGCTGTGGGGCCTGGCCGAGGGTGTAGGCGGGACGGGGCTGCTGCTGGTAGTACTGGGGCTGCTGCTGGTAGTACTGGGGCTGCGCAGTGTACTGGTGGGTGTCGGGGGCCAGTTCAGCCTCCCTGGCCAGCTTCTGGTACTCCTGATGGAAGGCCCTCTTGGCCTCAGCCACCTCGTAGGTGTCCTGGACGGGCTGTGGGGCCTGGCCGAGGGTGTAGGCGGGACGGGGCTGCTGCTGGTAGTACTGGGGCTGCGCAGTGTACTGGTGGGTGTCGGGGGCCAGTTCAGCCTCCCTGGCCAGCTTCTGGTACTCCTGCTGGAAGGTCCTCTTGGCCTCAGCCACCTCGTAGGTGTCCTGGACGGGCTGTGGGGCCTGGCCGAGGGTGTAGGCGGGACGGGGTTGCTGCTGGTAGTACTGGGGCTGCGCAGTGTACTGGTGGGTGTCGGGGGCCAGTTCAGCCTCCCTGGCCAGCTTCTGGTACTCCTGCTGGAAGACCCTCTTGGCCTCAGCCACCTCGTAGGTGTCCTGGACGGGCTGTGGTGCCGCACTGACGGCCGCCCCGGCCTGGTAGGACGACACGGCGGGCGGCGGATGGTCGGCGGCGGCTCCCAGAACAGCCGCCGTCAGCAGGAGCTGCCGAGCGACGGGTGGCGTCAGCGATACGGGTGGCGCGGAGGTAGTTAGACATCGGGAGACATGTCAAAATGACATGAATGAACGAATGAATGAGCAATAAACATGGATGCTCTCAGTCATTGAACAGAAGCTTCATTTTGAAGTTGCGATACGGAAAAAATAATGGCCGTAAAAGGTCGTTTAGTGGCTACTTTGAAGACAACTTACCACAATTCGCATCATGATGTAGTGTAGGAGTGCAGACTGAAGCAGTGCCGCCGTGGATTGAACAAGTGGTGTCCATCTGATGACTCGGTGCACCTTTATACCCGGGCCGAGGGCACGCCGGATTGGTATGTGTCTTTTCCTGCAAAGCTCTGCAAACCATTATCAATTTAAAACGGGCTGCTCTAAATGTAGGTACCGGTTGTTGAGACATTTGTCAATTGATAGGCAATGGGCATTGTTCAATGGTCATGCATTTGAAGTGGATGAATCAATTGTGTGAAATAAACGTTGATTCAGTCAAGTCAGTTGAAGGTCGCGCCACCCTGTGCAGTGTGCACTCAACAGATGACGACATATCTACCAATGAAGGAACATCAATTTAGTAATCAACAACGAGTTCACTGTAGTGCGATTAATTTTGTACTAACTAAGCAATGGAATTCTAGCTCTTAGCTGATTGCTGCTACGTGCTAACGAACGAAATGTTTTAGCTGGTTAGTGGTTAACTACCTACGGAGGTGGAACTGCGCTAGTACACCCCCTGTCCTTTTCCGTTGGTATCTCGTGAACGACTGCAGATATCGCCACTTAAATTTCAGGAACCCTCCAGGCATCAATGACGTCAGAATGACGTCATGCTCTGCCATTTTCGATCGAAAAAAGGTTTTGCGGGAAGAGCTGTCAGGACTACAGCTTTGAAGATACATAAAAAAATCGAAATATAAAACGTGTAGAATTTACAAGGCTATAAACCGCTACCTCCGATTTTTGAAATTGTTGGATTTAGACCCCTAAAAATCAAACAAGTTTTTTTTTATAATAGCCCAATTTTTTATAATATCCCAATTTTTTTGAATTTCGAAAATAATGAATAAATATGATAGTGCCTACCATCTTATATCCACATACCAAATTTGAGATCGATACCTCTTTTTTTGGCCACGTTATAGCGAAATACTGTTCAAAATTAATGACGTCAAATATTCAAACTCAATTTTTAGCAATTCCAGACCACGTAGCGCAAAACAAAGACCACCATTAGACTTCCCGTGACGAGCTGCATCGATTCGATACCCATTTTATGCAAAATACCATTTTTGAACTTTGACCTAATTTGACCTGACCGTGACCTAACCTTCACCAGAACATAACCTAAACTGGCCCCAAAGGCTGCCTGACCCACATAATCGCATTTGTCATGTAAAATGGACCATGAAACATGCATCACAAGACACTTTCATATTTTGACCCTCAGTGACGTGACCTCTGTGACCTGACCTGGTATCAGTGACCTCAAATAGCAAAACATTTATGTTTGACGGACAACTCTCCATCGATGATATTATATAGCGTGCCTTTTACTCGATTTTACCACACATTTCTTGAAATGACTGTAAACGGTGAAAATGCGACCTTTAACCTGGCCTGTGACGTCATCGGTTAAACCGAGGTGAATGAAATTGCGTCACAACTCACAAGGTAGTTCCCCGGCGGATCTATCGAACGCCGTTTGAATTTTGAAAATTGGCCGGTAACTTTTCGAGTTCTTAGGGGGACGACCTACGGGTGGTAGGGTCCGCCGATAGCCCTACGAAGCGCAGGACTTCAATCAGCAGAGAGCAACTAGCCTTTGCGAGCTTTTCCGCAATTCGTCTTCTCAGCAGTCGCCATACGGGATGGGAGGGACGACAGAGTCCTATTGACATGTCTCCACTCACGGTCGAACGGGCCTGGCGACAATCATGCTTTATGTGTCTGCGCGTTCCAATTCATAAGGATGGAACGTTCCGAATCAACAAGACTGGCACGTCCCCATTGAATATTCCTGTTTTCCCCGCCGGCAGCAGTTCAAACAGGCTACAAAGGCCTGAGACTACCCCAGTCCCCGACGCGTTCATGACCGTTCAGTAGTTCCTGAAACTCCCGATAGATGGCAGCACGGGTGAGCGCCCGGGAGTTAGACTGTACCGCAATGCCGTAGACATCCGAGTAATGTACGGGTCGCGCGCCGCGCGGTTCTTTTATATTTTCAGGCCGCACATGGGGAGCGTGCCGCCAAGTTTACGGTAAATCATGCTACTAGAGATTCGTGGGCTGGTGTGCTGCGGAATTTCCCTGTGTATGTGCGCTGAGGGGTTAGGTACGGGCTTTACTGCAGAACCGGATAAACGGAAATCTTCCATCACTGCAGTCCGTTGTTTCACTGGGACTCGACGCGAGACCCTAACATGACCTGTGCTGTGCGGGCCACCATTCTAGCTGGTCTCCAGTGATGCAGCGAATCTAACTGCAACTCACTCTTGAGGTATGGAAGCGACACCCTGCACTGGCACACGTGGCAAGGCGAGACACCCCCACTGACCTATCATACATATAGTTACTGGCCAGCCCTCTAGTCGGTCGCCAGCGGCTTACTCAATTTGAGCGTAATCGGCCCAGCCGTTCTTAGTTGGAAGCAATCCCTGACCTGAAAGCGAGCACGTGCAGTAGCCCCCCCTCCACCCCCCAGCCCCCACACATAAAAATGCATCGCCAGAGTGGGTGCCCACTGCCCAGTGCCCACGTATACGCATGGGGTGTAGGTTTTAGGGCGCCTCAGCGACAAACGCTCTTTGTCCAGTGTCCACCTATACGTCAAGTTTCCGTGCAATCAGCCCAGTACTTTGGGAGTTATTGTTAGTGGAACAAATTGTTAGACCTCTGAACCGAGGCCAGTGCCGCTACGACGACCAAAAAGTAAAAAGTATACCTACGTAGGAAAATATATTAATCATGATCGAATCATGTAGACTGTTATCTGCTGTCGCATACCGGAAAGGACGAAAAGCGGCAAACTGTTAAAAATCAAAAGCAGATGATTCCAATCACATGTACCTACATAAGCGAATTCAGCTGGAGACAACGGGTTGTGAGGTTCGCAGTCCGTGGTCTGGGGATGGTTAGGCTAAATATCATGAGCGCCGGGCGTAGAGCGACGAAACGGCGCCTTTGTTGTTTTTACGTTTTTTTTTTTTAAATCTCATTTTCTTGTTCATACTATGTATGTTGCATCTCAAGAATCTTTTATCTCTACAACATTATAATTCATATCTTTGCGCTTGTATGTTTTTGTTCGGAATGACAAAATGTAGGTGAATGTATGTCATAATGTGTCTATGTCTAGTGTCTCTAGTGTCTATGTCTCTTGTCTACCGATTATGAACCAGACTATCGGTTGCCGAGATAAAAGGCTACGTAAGCTGTAAAAGATTTGAAAGGGGGCAATCCAGTGCTTAGACATGTATTTGTTTCCCGAGCAGGCAACAGAGGCAGATCACTTAATGAGCATCAGTTCCCTTCTACTAAACGACAAACCTTCAGTTGTACGAGGAAGACTGAGCCAGAGCAGCGCGCCGGTCAAACTCCATCTGGAAGACCCTCTTGGCCTGAGCCACCTCGTAGGTGTCCTGGACGGGCTGTGGAGCCTGGCCGAGGGTGTAGGCGGGACGGGGCTGCTGCTGGTAGTACTGGGGCTGCTGCTGGTGGTACTGGGGCTGCGCAGTGTACTGGTTGGTGGGTGTCGGGGGCCAGTTCAGCCTCCCTGGCCAGCTTCTGGTACTCCTGCTGGAAGGCCCTCTTGGCCTCAGCCACCTCGTAGGTGTCCTGGACGGGCTGTGGGGCCTGGCCGAGGGTGTAGGCGGGACGGGGCTGCTGCTGGTAGTACTGGGGCTGCTGCTGGTGGTACTGGGGCTGCGCAGTGTACTGGTGGGTGTCGGGGGCCAGTTCAGCCTCCCTGGCCAGCTTCTGGTACTCCTGCTGGAAGGCCCTCTTGGCCTCAGCCACCTCGTAGGTGTCCTGGACGGGCTGTGGGGCTTGGCCGAGGGTGTAGGCGGGACGGGGCTGCTGCTGGTAGTACTGGGGCTGCGCAGTGTACTGGTGGGTGTCGGGGGCCAGTTCAGCCTCCCTGGCCAGCTTCTGGTACTCCTGCTGGAAGGCCCTCTTGGCCTCAGCCACCTCGTAGGTGTCCTGTACGGGCTGTGGTGCCGCACTGACGGCCGCCCCGGCCTGGTAGGACGACACGGCGGGCGGCGGATGGTCGGCGGCGGCTCCCAGAACAGCCGCCGTCAGCAGGAGCTGCCGAGCGACGGGTGGCGTCAGCGATACCGGTGGCGCGGAGGTAGTTAGACATCGGGAGATGAATGAAAATAAATGATGAATATTTATGTTCTCAGCTGTTGAACAGCAGATGCATTCTAAAGCTAAGATACGGGATGAAAATAATGGACATGTAAGCTCGTTTAGTGGCTACTTTGAAGACAACTTACCACAATTCGCATCATGATGTAGTGTAGGAGTGCAGACTGAAGCAGTGCCGCCGTGGATTGAACAAGTGGTGTCCATCTGATGACTCGGTGCACCTTTATACCCGGGCCGAGGACACGCCCCATTGGTATGTGTCTTTTCCTGCAAAGCTCTGCAAACCATTATCAATATAAAATTGGCTGCTCCGAATGTACCGGTTGTTGAGACATTTGTCAATTGATAGGCGATAGGCATTGTTCAATGGCCATGCATTTGAGGTGGAAAATTGTGTGAAATAAACGTTGATTCAGTCAAGTCAGTTGAAGGTCGAGCCACCCTGTGCAGTGTGCACTCAGCAGATGACGACATACCTATCTATCAATGAAGGAACATCAATTTAGTAATCAACAACGAGTTCACTGTAGTGCGATTAATTTTGTACTAACTAAGCAATGGAATTCTAGCTCTTAGCTGATTGCTGCTAAGTGCTAACGAACGAAATGTTTTAGCTGGTTAACCCGCGCCCCACTGGGGTCTGCGTATAACACGCCCTACTGGGGGGGGGGGGGGCTATTCATAGCCCCCCTCCTAACTCCGAAACCACTGGGCCGATCGTCAAAATTCAAACGGCGTCTGATAGCTCCGGAAAAACTGTCGAGCGAAACCTAATTTTATTGACCTCGAGGTCACTGATGACGTCACAGGTCAGGTCAAAGTAAAAATTATTAGCATTTTGGCTTCTTCACGTTTTGGGCTCTGGCCGCCGTCTTACAAGTCAGATCAGGTTCATTTTTGGTTCACACACTCGTGAACAGATGCTCTAGATACTCTGGGGGTACCAAACTTGTACTTTGATTTTCAGGTCAAGGTCAGGTCATCACAGGTCACGAAAATATTATATCATCCGTCGGTAACGTGACACATGTTTTATGGTCCATTTAGGCCAAACATTTCAAATTTGATGTCGTCTGTGTCATGCGAGGTCATTTTGAGTCAAATTTAGCTTAGGTCAGGTCACTTTCAGGTCAAAAAAGGTCAAATTTCGAAGTTAAAATTTTTCAACAAAAAAGGTGTCTATTCGATGCAGTTTGAGCTCTGGAACACGATGGTGCTAATTATATTGGCGTACGATGTCAAATTCGTGCTGAAAAATTGATTTGAAAAATTAATAATTGTTAATTTTTTGCAATAATGCGTATAACTTGGCCATTTTTGAAGATATTTAGCTAAAACTTGCTAGAGGTAGTCATAATAATGCGTTCTATCACATATATTCCGGTGTTTTCGAAAAGTCAAAAACTTTTTGAAAAAAATGTAAAAGTATAAATTTTGAATTTTATTATTTAAAATTTTCGAAATTTTCAAAATTTAAAAATCCGAGATTGCAGTTTGATAGCGCAGTCTATTCTGAGTCCTCTCATTCAGAGAAATTGGATCTAGTTTAAAAACTGAGCTCTTGGGAGCGATTGCCGTGGTTCAATGTTTTGCGTCGAAATCGGCCGAACATGACGTCACTCTGACGTCATTTCCGGCCGACCTATGGTTGGTACGAAGTTCAAATTTTGACACAAGGTGTCAAATTGATGCAGCCGAAGGTACTGAAAGTTTGGCGTCGATACGTAAAGCGGTTTGGAAGTTATTGCAGAAAAACGGGAGGGGGGCTATAAATAGCCCCCCCCCCCAGTGGGGCGCGGGTTAACTACCTACGGAGCTGGAACTGCGCTAATTGTGCATAGTATGAAATAGGTGCGATGATGGGTACACCCCCTGTCCTTTTCCGTTGGTATCTCGTGAACGACTGCAGATATCGCCACTTAAATTTCAGGAACCCTCCAGGCATCAATTCTACACATTGCGACGAAATAACTTTCAGAGGCTATGATAGGTTGACCACAAATGACGTCAGAATGACGTCATGCTCTGCCATTTTCGAACGAAAAAAGGTTTTGCGGGAAGAGCTGTCAGGACTAGAGCTTTGAAGATACATAAAAAAAATCAAGATATAAAACGTGTAGAATTGACAAGGCTATAAACCGCTATCTCCGATTTTTTTAATTGTTGGATTTAGACCCCTAAAAATCAAACAAGTTTTTTATAATAGCCTAAAAATCCCAATTTTTTGAATTTCGAAAATAATGAATTAATATGATAGTGCCTACCATCTTATATCCACATGCGAAATTTGAGATCGATACCGCTTTTTTGGCCACGTTATAGCGAAATACTGTTCAAAATTAATGACGTCAAATATTCAAACTCAATTTTTAGCAATTCCAGACCACGTAGCGCAAAACAAAGACCACCATTAGACTTCCCGTGACGAGTTGCATCGATTCGATACCCATTTTATGCAAAATACCATTTTTGAACTTTGACCTAATTTGACCTAACCGTGACCTAACCTTCACCAGAACATAACCTAAACTGGCCCCAGAGGCTGCCTGACCGACATAATCGCACTTGTCATGTAAAATGGACCATAAAACATGCATCACAAGACACTTTCATATTAATTGACCCTTAGTGACGTGACCTCTGTGACCTGACCTGGTATCAGTGACCTCAAATAGCAAAATATGTGTGTATGACGGACAATTCTCCATCGATGATTTTCTGTAGCGTGCCTTTTACTCGATTTTACCACACATTTCTTGAAATGACTGTAAACGGTGAAAATGCGACATTTAACCTGACCTGTGACGTCATCGGTTGAACCGAGGTAAATGAAATTGGGTCACAACTCACAAGGTAGTTCCCTGGCGGAGCTATCGAACGCCGTTTGAATTTTGAAAATCGGCCGTTATCTTTTCGAGTTCATAGGGGGGGGGGGGGGACGACCTACGGGTGGTAGGGTCTGCCGATAGCCCTACGAAGCTCGGGACTTCAATCAGCAGGTAGCAACTAGCCTTTGCGAGCTTGTCCGCAATTCGTCTTCTCAGCAGTCGCCATACGGGATGGGAGGGACGACAGAGTCCTATTGACATGTCTCCACTCACGGTCGAACGGGCCTGGCGACAATCATGCTTTATGAGTCTGCGCGTTCCAATTCATAAGGATGGAACGTTCCGAATCAACAAGACCGGCACGTCCCCATTGAATATTCCTGTTTTCCCCGCCGGCAGCAGTCCAAACAGGCTACAAAGGCCTGAGACTGCTCCAGTCCCCGACGCGTTCATGACCGTTCAGTAGTTCCTGAAACTCCCGATCGATGGCAGCACGGGTGAGCGCCCGGGAGTTAGACTGTACTGCAATACCGTAGACATCCGAGTAATGTACGGGTCGCGCGCCGCGCGGTTCTTTTATATTTTCAGGCCGCACATAGGGAGCGTGCCGCCAAGTTTACGGTAAATCATGCTACTAGAGATTCGTGGGCTGGTGTGCTGCGGAATTTCCCTGTGTATGTGCGCTGAGGGGTTAGGTACGGGCTTTACTGCAGAACCGGATAAACGGAAATCTTCCATCACTGCAGTCCGTTGTTTCACTGGGACTCGACGCGAGACCCTAACATGACCTGTGCTGTGCGGGCCACCATTCTAGCTGGTCTCCAGTGATGCAGCGAATCTAACTGCAACCCACTCTTGAGGTATGGAAGCGACACCCTGCACTGGCACACGTGGCAAGGCGAGACACCCCCACTGACCTATCATACATATAGTTACTGGCCAGCCCTCTAGTCGGTCGCCAGCGGCTTACTCAATTTGAGCGTAATCGGTCCAGCCGTTCTTAGTTGGAAGCAATCCCTGACCTGAAAGCGAGCACGTGCAGTAGCCCCCCCCCCTCCACCCCCCACACATAAGAATGCATCGCCAGAGTGGATGCCCACTGCCCAGTGCCCACGTATACGCATGGGGTATAGGTTTTAGGGCGCCTCAGCGACAAACGCTCTTTGTCCGGTGTCCACCTATACGTCAAGTTTCAGTGCAATCAGCCCAGTACTCTGGGAGTTATTGTTAGTGGAACAAATTGTTATATGCGACCTCTGAACCGAGGCCAGTGCCGCTACGATGACCAAAAAGTAAAAAGTATACATAAGAAAATATTTATATTAATCATGATCGAATCAGGTGGACGGTTATCTGCTGTCGCATACCGGGATGGAAGAAAAGCGGCAAACTGTTAAAAAAAAATCAAAAGCAGATGATTCCAATCACATGTACATGAGCGAATTCAGCTGGAAACAACGGGTTGTGAGGTTCGTAGTCCGTGGTCTGGGGATGGTCAGGCTAAATATCATGAGCGCCGGGCGTAGAG